TTTACATCACCGGATTTGTCTAAGATGATGAGGTTTTGTTTGTTTGGATGAAGAAACATTTCGTACTTTCTAGCAGCTCAGTCCACTCACAGGAAAGGGGAACCAATACAGTGAACATGTGTTAACTTCCTTCTGTGGTCCAGTGCTGTGGGCTTCTTTGAAGGTACAGGCAATCCTGCCTGCGCCCAGGCTTCAGGTGGAGAAACTGAGGCTCAGAGGACCCATGATACCCTAAAGCCATTTAGCTGCTAAGTTCCTGTGCTGAGACTTAAATCTATGTGTGTGGCTACAACTGCAAGGCTGACCTCGCTCCCGTACCTTCTCCATGCCCCTTCTCTGCTCCCTAAAATATAAACTACTGGAATCAACATTATCTCCATTATTTTCTCCCAGGAGTCTACTCCTCTCCTCACCCTCCAGGCCAGTGAGAAGCTACCTTGTCTATTCTGGGGCCCCATCAGCTCTTCCCCAGCTATTGTCTCAAATTCCGAGAGGTGATTGATCTAAGATACAATCACATTGGGGTCCAAAAAGGGTAGCAAGGCCTAGCAAACACTAAAACTCCCCAGAGAAACCCCTGGTGTCAAAGCTCATTTTATTCCTCTCAACAACGCATCTGGACTGTGGCTTCAGAGCAAAATACTTTTATGGCATTTCTGAGAGCAAAGGCTGTAGAGATTTGTATCTGTACCAGACAGTTGTGGAAAGAGAATGCAAGGCCAATTGCAGGACTTCCTGCCTTCCTTAGCCCTGCTTCTATAGGTGTCAGAAAACACATGGAAACCAACTGCTCCCCCCTCCACTGAGTTCCCATAATCAAGACTTTGACATTGCTGATTCAGGCTCAACATTTCCTGGAGATCCTGATAAGAGATCATTATCTACTTGGTGTCCTACAGTCTAGAAGCCTAGCAGCTGTAACACAAGGGTAAACCACATTGCTTATATTTAATTTCTGTGTCCCCAAAATGCAGAGTCTAATACAACCTTGCCCATTCCACCCTTTTTGCAACTTGTGGAAACGTTGAAATGAGATGTCGAGTGTGCTGCTTTGAAAGCTGACAAATGGCACTAACAGTGATGTTTTTATCATTAGTGTGAACGTTATGGAGGGCTCAGGAAGGCCAAGTGACATCTACATGATCACTCAACGAGGAAGTAGTTAAAATAAATGCATAATAGCCCTGACTCCCTTAGCAATGCCAGGCCAGTCCAGCGCAGAAATGGGGACACTGATTTGGGATCAGTCCCATCACTCTCCCCAGGTGACCCTCCTTGTACCTTTGTCCCAGGGCTTCTCAGGCTTCTCAGCAGTGTGGGTGTCCTGCCCTGGCCAGAGCTGAAATCCCAGAGCAGTGAAAGAGGAGCCAGTGTCATGGGGCTTCTGGTTTCAGGATATACTGGAAAGGTGAGAAGGAAGCTTGTCTTCCCATGGATCTGGGCCAGGGCCAGGTGGCAGGGCCTCCCCTCCCCAGGAGCTGGGACGTTCCCCAGGTGCCTGGGCATCCCCGGGTCAGTAGGGCCACTAGCACATTTCTGAAACATTTTCTTCCATCAGAAAATAAATCATTCAGCCCTTTGCATGGACCAGATGCTTTTTCAGTGCAGGCAGCACCTGCCTAAGGCCCTCTTTGCAGAAAAGGAATTAACGTCCCATGTAAAGTGTTCTTGGAGGACTTGATGAGAAGGCCTTCACACCTTGAGCTGCATGGCCTTGACCTTCACAGTTTGCACACACTTCTCACTACCACTGCCCCACCTCCTGGCTTCTGACCTGTGTCAAATGCCACCTGTTTTCAGGGTCAGGTTCAGATATTACCCTCTGATGGGAGATTTTTCTGATCCTTTTCCCTATCATGACCAATCTACCCACTTCTCAGGTCTCTCAGTTCCCTCAGGGAATTGATGTGGCCGATCAATGGGCAGACAAGTAAGGATCTGGGTTGGAGGGATGCGGACAATGCTGCAAATGCTGAGGAGGCCTGCCCACCTCACTTGGCTGCTGTGTGCCACCTCTTTGCCTGCTAATGATTTTTGCCTCTCTCCATGAAGTTTCAACTCTCCACTCCTACGCCCCCACCACCCCCACTATGGGCAATGATCAAGTCACACAGGCAAGCAAAAGAGCACGCCACTCCCCTGAAGAAGGGACATCTCTGCAGTGGGTTTTAGGTTTCAGGAGGTTAATCCCACCTCCACCCTTTCCCCAAGAGATCATAATTCAGGGACAATGACCTACACTTTGGTTTTACAACTGAGAGTCCTACATCCCAAAACAGTCCCTATGGTCAATTGGTCAACCTAGACTAGGTTACCAGATTTTGCACAAAGTATAAGATGCTCAGTTCAGTTTGCATTTCAGGTAAACAAAGTGTGCATTTTTAGTATAAGTTTGCTCCCCTAAGTACTGGGAACATACTTATAATTTTTAAAAAATATTCCTTATTTATCTGAAATGCAAATATGTCTGCACATCTTGTGTTGTATCTGATAGCCCACATCTGGACCACATCTGTCCCTCTCTCTGTCCCTATCCTGCTTCCCCATCTCCTTCTCTTCCTTGCAGATTTCTCCTCTCTCTCTCTCTCTCTCTTCCTCCCTCCCTCCCTCTCTCTCCCCTTTATGTCTCTGTCTCTGTCTCTCTCTCTCTCTCTGTTTCTCCATCTCTCTGTCTCTCTCTCTGTCTCTCTCTCTGTCTCTCTCTCTCTCTCCCCCTCTCCACTTGTATCTAAGTCCCTGTCTCAGGCTCTGCATCTAGGGGACCAAACTTATGATCCTCCTTTTCCCTTCACTTCCCCTGGCTTCACAGAACATCACTCTTTGACTAGGTCTCTTGGCCTGGACAGAAAGCCCAAGTCTAGGAAAACCACTGACTTTGTACTACAATGGTGCACAACTGGTTTCCTAGAAACTACAGGAAGATGGAAATACCAAAACTCCTTGTGACCATTGTCTCTATGTATCTGTGACAGAGCTAGGTTGATGGCTTAGGATCTGAGCCTTGCTAGAACATGCTAGAACATGAGGACTGAGTGAAATGAACTATCCATGACTCAGATTTGGTGTTTTCACAATCCCAACATTCTTGCTCAATGTGAAGAATATTGACTCTGGTGTTTGGCACAAGGTAGTGCTCATTAAACAGTTGCCAGTGCTAGTATTTGTCATAAGCAATAGTAACAAATAACATCTGATTCTCTTGATAACATGGGATTGTGAAGAATATGTCCTATAGGGCACTCAACTCAAATGATTTCAGCACAAGACCATCCAATGACGGGATTAGTTGCCTCATACTGTAGTGATCCTTCTGTCATCCACAGGGAAAAAGGATTGAGGGAAGACATTTATCTGCCAGTAGCAGACAATTTCCAGCCATCAACTCTTGAATCAGACAACGGGATGTTCTAGGAGAGGTTGCACCATGCCAATCTATAAGAGGTACTTCCCAGACCTGAGATCCAAGAGTCTTTAAAAACAGTGATATCCCACATTTGTATGTCTGGTGGCTGCTCTGGTGTCCAGAATTTGTCAAATGATTCCAGAACAATGTCACAAAGCTTCGCTCCAACAGTTTTCACAACCATACATACTTCTCAGACCAGTGAGATGGCTTGCTAGTGCCCTGAGTGAGGAAGACTGACCCACGGGTACTTAAAGTCTTCCCTACCCTTGAGTCCTCCAGCACAGAAGAACAGAAGCACGCCTCTGTCCCCTTGCTTGTCACCACAGGTGCTTTCCCTCCTTTGCTGGCTCAGCCTAGCTGCAGACCAGGGCTGAAATGCACTCTGTCTGCAGCCCCACAGCTGTCTCACTGGAGGATCTGGTCGGCTGTGCTCTCTCCCACAGTTATCGGAAGGACAGCCAGGAGTCCTCATTTCACATAAAACACCACTGTGGTATCTTTGCCCACAATCACAAAGTCATGGGGCTGGAAGAGACTGGGATACCTCATCTAACCCTTAACAGATCCATGTGCCTCCATAAGCCAGTCCCAACCCTCCCCTGTGGAGAGCACCCTTCTGGCAGGCGTCACTTGTGGCTGAGCTTCTCAGATGTTAGAAGGCCTTTCTCATCTTCAGGTGTCCTCTGACTTTATGTGGCTTCCTCTCAGCCATGCTGGTTTCTCCAGGGATGGCATGTAAGAGGCCATCTTGCTGCAAGGTGGATGCAAAGGGGTGCAGGGAGGCTATGGGGGATGAAGCGAAAGGAATGCTCACAGGGGTAAGCAACTTCAGAGAAAGCTGTCAAGAGGGTGCACAATTTAAAAGGGACCCAAAGCCTGAATGCTTAGATTTTCCATCATGCTTTTAAAATTTCTTGTACAGGTTTCTCTTCAGCTCTCTGGAAAGTACATCCATCCCAAACAAAGTATTCTCTGAGAACTGCAGAGTACCAGGGCACTGTGTTACCCATTGTGTTGACCGGAAGGAGTTGATCAGGGAGAGAGGCACAGGAGCAATGGAAAGAACTGAGTGTTTTTCACCAGAAGAATGGGTTTGGGTGGGAAAGTAGGTGTCTCTGAAAATCTTTCCTCAGGAAGGAGAATTGAACCCATTCAATTAGAATCGGGAATTAGACTTCGGATAAAGGGTACCATCAGAACATGAGTTCGAAAAGGCTAATCGGGAATTAGACTTCGGATAAAGGGTACCATCAGAACATGAGTTCGAAAAGGCTTCCTGTTCAGCACAGCTATCTAGCTTTGGTAAGACCGTGAGCGGTCCCTGTCACTGAACATGTCCAAGCAGAGGGGGAAGAGATTCAATTCAAACACCAGCTGGAAGTTGGACTTAATGGCTTTTTATTGCTGAGAGTTCATGAATTTTCCTTCATTACCATTATCTCCAAGCTCTCTCTCTCTCTCTCTCTCTCTCTCTCTCTCTCTCACACACACACACACACACACACACACACACACACACACGCAAGGCCATATAAAGCCAAGTGCAGTTCACCAGTGTAAGATTTGCATCTCTTGCTTGGCTTAGCTTTGGTTGCCCAGCAATTTTCTCATCACTGACTTGGTTGTCAGCAAGAAAGAAAAGCCTTTCCTCTCTCCTTGGGAGGAGCAGAGCAGATTGCCTGGATCTGCCTCATACTGCCCTGGCTCTGGTCTCCGCACCAAACGCGTTCCTTCTGCGCAGTCTGTTCCCGTTTTGACAATGCAGGGGAAGAACCGGAGAAAATGCCACAGCCAAAAGTACTGGGAGCGGCCGGCTTGGTGGGGCCTCGCCTTGGACAGGATGGCTCACATTTGCATTCAAGAGGATCCTGCGCCCTGCTCCGGAAAGCAGAAAGTTTGGCTGGGTCAGTGCCTGTCACAGTCAAGCATTTTCAAGGAGGAACTGCTACTGACAGCAGTCACTCAGCATTTTCACAAGAACAGAGTCTGAAAGAGGTTTCACCGAGGAACTCTTAGCCCAGCATGCTGGAGATTAAAATCATAAGTTAGTTTTTTTCTGCCTGAGAAATGAGATTGTGCTCTGATGTTTGAGGATATACTAGGCCTTTTGCTTTCTTAAAATCCAGAAAATGTTTCTGACTACAGCATCATGCGTGGGATTTTTGAGTAGTGCATTATACACCATGTGACAAGCCGGTAGCAAGTAGAAGGATACCATTCAGCAGGGACTTACTGATCATCCACTTTGTGTGGGGCCATGTAACCGGACTCTAGTCACAAAGGTGAGAGAGATCTAGAACATGCTTTCAAGAAGCTTGTAATCCGGTGGGAGACCACCAGAAACAACAAATTAAAACGCAGGGCTCCAGCAGAATGCTACGAGCACCATAGCTATCTGGGAGCATCAGTGGTAGCGTTTTCCAGGGAGGGATGCTCGGGATAAATTTTTAAGGATTTTATGAAGCAGCGAATATCAGAAGTCAGGGGTGGTGATATTCTGTATAGGCAAAGACCAGGGGAAAATGTGGGAAAGCTGGGCTGCTTAAGAAACCCTGAGTACTCTGTTGACCACAGCTAGCCAGCAGACAGCGAAATGCTCAGGATGCATCTGAAGGAATGGCTTTAACCTGGAGCTATTTTGTTTCCTGGGGCTACTTTGTTGTCACAACAGGAGGCATGGCACAGCTACTGGCATCTAGCAAATGGGAAGAAGGTGAGGATGCTGTTAACCATCTACACTGCTCAGGGCGGCCTTCACAAAAAAGGGTGCTCTAGTCTGCAGTGTCAACAGAGGCAAGTAGAGCAACCTTGAGCATTGTGGAATGTTTAGCAGTATCCCTGGCCTCTGCTCATTAGGGAAGATGGAAGAATGGAGCTCTGCTGCCTGAGGTCCACACAGAAAGGGCATCTGGTAGGGAAGCCAGGGTAATGCAGAGTTTTCAGGTCCTGCCTAGTGCTCCCCTTCCCTATACTCAGTCAACCCTCCCAGCTTTACTTCCTGTACACATTTGACACACTTATAGCCAGTATCTTCCTCCAAATTGTCAGTAAAAATACTGAACACAAAACTTTGAGGGGAAAATAACGCCTTAGAAGCATCTAACATCATCCATGTATAGGCCATTTTCACCCTTCATTGTAAAAAGAGGAAAATGAAGCTCAGAGATGTCCTGCAATCTAGGAATTATTTATTTGTAACCTGAACTGGACCTCAAGTGCTCCAAGCACCCATTCATTTGGCTACAGGGGTTGCTAGGAGTATCCCCATTCTGTAGCCCTAACAAGAAGGACTCATTTCTGGCTTTCTGGATTCAGATCTGTGGGGACTGGGGAGTAAGAACTTTTCCTTGGCCTCCCACTGACCTGAGTTGTGACACTTCCATACCCTGCTGACCACAGGGGACCTCTTGCTCTCAGAGGCTGAACTGGTCAGAGGACAGCTGCTCAGCTCATGTTCTCTGGCCAGGAGGTGTTCCTGACCCTGTGATCTAGCCTTCCTTCCAAAGCGGCAGATGGGCACAAGTGCCTGCTGTGAAGGTGCTCCCCCTTATGTCTGACCATTAATCACCCAATGGAGGACAGCACCAGTCAGCTGAGGGGTGCACTCCTTCCAAGCAGAACCCCCAAACCTGCTGATCTATGATGTCACTGTCCTCGGGGACAGCGTGGACAAACCACGCCAGGTCACACAGTGCAGAAACAGTCTCATAATCCACACTGGTTGTTCTAACAGCTTGTCTAAGGATTGTTCATCTGTGGCTGAGAAGTTTACAACGTGGCAGTCTTCTACCTCAGTAACTCATTGGGAACTGATTTCCTATATTCCCCAAGGTATCGCTAACTCCTCAGTCATTCGGGGAAAAGACGGAGCCCCTGCTCTCTTCTTCACCTCTAACAGCCCATTAATTGTGAGCTCAGGGAAAAAATAAAGAGCAATGCATCTTCATCAAATAATAAAACCCCACCTGGTATCAGGTCTACCTGTGCTGCTCTGGCAGATCCCAGAGATTTGCCCCTCTCCCCATCAAACCTCTTCCTGGCCCTGGAGTAGTTCCCAGAGCACCACCTCTCTGTGGTGCCTCCTCCCACCAGCGAGGCCCAGCAGCTCTCTGCCGCCATCACAGTTCCACTCCAACCCCACAGTACAGATTCCTCTGGAAATCGGCAGGTCCAGTCACGTCACTAAGGTTACAGCTGTGGCGAGCACCTGACCCTTGGCTGAAGAGGGGAGAAAAGGAGAGAAGAAGGGAAATTGGAGAAAGGAGGTGGCTCCACATGCAGGCGAGAGGTGATGGTGGCTGGATGCGGGGTGTTGATGAGAATATGAGGCAAAGGAAAAGAGAAAACGGAGCACGTGGGAAAAGTGGTCAGAGAGGGCTCAAGTCTCAGGAGACGGGAGAGGTGGAAAGGGGTCCTTCCCAACTCAGGACCTTTAAACAGTAAAAGGGGCTACATGGGATTGGCTCTGTCCGTGACTCTGGTCCTGGAGAGTGCAGGACGACAGCACCCATTTCTCCACAAACCAAGTGTGTGCATCTCTCAGTGGAGAACTCTCAGGGACACCAGCATCCTCTTGCCTTGTGCTGCTGGCATCCTGATTCTCCTCTGCACAGGGGGTCATGGGCTCATAGCACAGTTGTTTGACCCAGGGTGGAGGCTCTGCATCAAGCTATGGGACATGGCGACAGCGAAGTAACAGCACTGTCAAGTGCCTGTCTGTGTGAGGGGATTTCTAAAATTACCCGCAGGCCTGCTGCTCCCAGGGCACCGGCCCAGCCCTCGTGAGTGCTAGGCAAGCACAACCTGCTTTCTCTGTCTGCACTCAGCCCCCCACAGCTCAGGTCAGCATCTATTCTCATCCCGACTGTCCCACCAGCCACCTGCCTGCTCTTTCTCCTCCATAGTGATGGGCCATCAAGTGTTTGCTGGAAAACACCGGGGCCTATTAGAAGCCACACCACCCCAAAGCCTGTTCTCCTGCTCAGGTACTCACTCCTCATTCAGTTACTCAACATACGACCCATGTGTAGCTACATGTCAATGTTCAGGGCCTTGGTTAGGCCAGGGCTGCAGTAGATGCTGTGGAATGAGTGAAAGTACATACTTTTGAATGTATAAATACATTTACATAATGCTCAAGAATAAGAAAATCTAACACACAATGATGGAAGTCAGAATACTGATTACTTCTTGGATATGAAGCGTAGCTGCTGAGTGAGAGAGGATATGATAAGTTTTAGGGTCTGGAAATGCTCTATATCTTGCTCTTAGAGATGCCCTCAAGGCTGTAATAATATGTAAAAATGTACTGAGCTGTACAATATTAAAAGTTGTGCCATTTACTATATAGATAGATCTTTTATACTGCAATCATTTTTTAAAAATTTATATAAGTATGATTCTGGTTTTACTTTTTACACTATATACATACCCATGACTCAAGAATGGGTGAGAAAACTATATATCAACATTTTAACATGTCTTTGTTGGTGAGATTATGGTGAATTCTTAATTTTCTTCTTTATACTTTTCTGGGTTTCCCAATTATTCTGCACTGAATATATCTCGCTTATATAATGAGATTAAATATGCTAAATGTTATTTTTAAACATTTTAAAAGTGAGAGCCCTTGCGATGAAATATTGGGCAAGCACGAGGCTGGTGGCTGTCTGCCCGGAGGGACAGATCTTGCTCACGAGATTTTGTCCTCTTATGCAGCAAGGACACTAGCCCAGGAGTCCCCTCCAGGTCTGCGGGATTTCAGGACAGCTAAATAAAGCTCCTGGCCCACTGAGAGCCGAGAGGTGGGGCTGCTGGAGGAACCCTCGGGCTTTCCTCTCATTCCTGAGGGACAGTTGCTCTTGGGCCTGCCAAGCCCTTCCTCCCAGCCACTGGAACCTGCCTGACTCAGAGTCTCCTGCAAGGCTAGGCCTGTAGGCCTGTGACCCTGAGCCCCAGCCTGCCTGGAGGCCTCTTACCTGGAGGCAAGATCATCTTAGGATCTTCTACCACATTCTTTCAACAAGAAGCACAAGTCACTGTGTATAGTTTGGGGTCACACTGAGGGGCAGTAAACTCATGGTGGGAATATGAAAAAAAAAAAAGAAAATTGAACTTTAGAAGACTAAGGAAGCAAGGAATCCCTCTGGGCCTTGGTTTTCCCACTGGGAAATAGAGCTCTTTGAAACTGACATAAGAATTAGTCCATGGAAAGGGGTAGGTTTGGGATTCTGTTCTGATGACATTTGGGGACATGGAGACTGGCCCTGTGTCTGGTTTCTGCCACTCCCACAGAAACTTGTCAGACCCCTACTCCAGTCCTAATGTCCTTTCTCTTCCTCCCTTTCTCCCCCACCCCCACTCCTCTCTCAGCTACCACAGCTTGGGATAGATTTTTGTGTATGTTCCCAAAGCCTTATTTCTGCATTGGCAAAGCCAATATGGTCATGTGACGGACTTCAGCTTGTGATTCACAAGCGTATTTTATACGTCCAGCCTAGATCCTAAAAACACTCCCTCCTTCCCTCCTATCTCCTTCTCCCCTCATTCCTCCCTCCCACTCCAGCCCCCAACACAAAGGCTCCCACAGAGAAGTCATGTGATGGCTTCTCAGACTGAGCCAAAGAGTGAGCCAGTGGCCAGCTCTGCCCTGTGACACACACGGCCTCCAGCGGTCACATGATCTGCAGCTGCCACCACCTGCCCTCTGTTCTCAGCCTTGTACCCTCTCCCTGGCAGGCTTCTTAGCTGATCTGTCCCTCTAGGCTGCAGCCTGGCAGACAATGAGACTGAAGGACAGCAGATCCAGGGCCAAAAGGCTTGGACGGCTCTAGTACCAGCTGACCTCCAGGTGGGAACCCTTCCAGGAGTCTACTAGGCAGTATGTGGTGTGCCCCAAGGGGTATTAGGTATCTTGCTGGCCTGATGCAAAGTGGGATGAAGTTATTGGCAACCGATTCCCCACAGCCAGCCCCAGCCAGTGCCCCCATGAGCAGGAAGCTTGAGCCCCAGGTGCTGAATGAGGCTACGCAAGGAGCCAAGGGCATTAGCCAGTGTTTCATGGAAAGGCTAGAAGCCAGGTGTTGCCAGACCAGGAAAAGAGGAGAAAAGGCAAACACAGGCAGGCCCATCCATCTGGGTACCCAAAATCAAAACCAAAAAAGTACCATGAAAACACAACACTGGCACCAGGGTTCTCAATTAGGAACTCTTTTACTTGTTTTGCTCTGCAGGGGGCATTTGTCAATGTTTGGAGACAATTTTAGTTGTCAGAACTGGGGAAGTGCCACAGTCATCTAGAGGGTAGAGGCCGTGGCTGCTGTGGCTGAGCATCCTGAAATGCACAGGACAGCCCTATAACAAAAGGACTTCATGCCCCATCTGGAATGTTCTCCTCCCACTTCTATTTGGCGTTCACCCATCTTTTCTGGGTCTAGCTGTGACATTTCCTCTTCCAACAAGCTTTCTCTCCATGCTGCTTTGCATCCCTCATCCAGGGCACAGCCTCATCCTCTGCCATAGAACAGGGCACAGTATGGGTACAGGAATGGTTGGCTTGTGTGTTTGTCTCTACCACTAGACCACTAGACGGTAGGTTCTCTTAATATCTGGGTCTGTCTCCCCACTGCTTAAGGTGACCTTGAACAATAGGAGTCACCCCTGATCTCTCCCTGATTGTGGAAGGAATAGGCAGACCCAGCTCTCAATCAATAGCAGAAAATATTTGGGGAGCTGGAGGAAAGCAAAGAGGAAATGTGAAAAAGTCAACTGGGTCATCAAAATAAGGTGGGGTCAGTGACAAGAAAGAGTATCCAGAGGCCAGGCAAGTAAGAGATCTGAGAAGAGATCAAAAGGGAGATGGCCTGCCAGTCTGGATAAGGCCCTGTAGGCTCCCAGCACATCCCAGGAGGGCAAGTGGCGTCCAAAATTGGGATTGCCACCAAGTGTTTGCTGTGCTTCTTATGCAGATGGGGCATCTAATCATTTACATTCACAAGCAAAATCACTTAAATTCCCATTTTATACATGAGTGAGCTGAGGCTCAAGGAGATAAAGGGATTATCCCCAAATTGCCAAGTCCTGCATTCAGCTCCTTCCCTCTTTGAGCCATACCATTTAGAGTCAGTCATCTTTCTCACTGATGGGTTCTGTGCCTTTATAAAAATATGCTTAGTCATCATGGCAGCAGACCAATATGGCGTTCTCCACTGGAGACCATGTGGCAGGCCCCGCCTTCCTGGTCAAGCTACTTCCTCACTTTGACAACATCCTGCTTCCTGCCTTCCAGCACAAATGGCCCAATCACTAATCACCCCATCACTCCAAACAGCCCAATGACTAACCGCAATATCACTCCAAGCTACTAAATCACTAGCTGTTATATTGCTCCAGTTGCTACCAGGCACATCACACAGACCATTCCCTAAACCCCACCCCCAGTGTAACCCTATATAGCCATTACTACCCTAGCCAAACCCTCAGAAGCTCCACGTCCCTCCTTTCTGCTGTGGTCTTCTCTGTGCTCACAATAAAGGCATTTTTTTACTTTTGTTTCATTTTTATCTGTGCCAAAAACCTATCACTCACCCCTCTTCGTGACCTCCATAGGACATCCTGACCTGCTTCCCAGCGCTGTGGATTCATTTGAATTTTCTCATGCAGCCATTCCAGATGTACTCACTTTCATCTGGCTTCTTTCACACAGAGTAATTATTTTGAGGCTCACGTATGTTGTTGCATATATCAAAAATTCATTCCTTATTATTACTGAGTAACATCCCAGAGGGTGGCAATGTGACAATTTGTTTATCCACTCACCTGCTGATTGACATTTGTCCTCTTTCCAGTTTGGGGCCACTCAAATAAAAATATTTTGTGTACATACCTTTTTATTTTTCTTGGGTAAATCCCTAAGAAGAATGGTTGGGTTATCTGATCAGTTTGTATTGAAATTTTTAAGAAACTATCACACTTTTATGCAAAGCAACTGTCCATTTTACATTCACATCAGCAGTATGTGAGAGTTCTAGCTCTCCTACATCTTTGCCATCACTAAATATGACCATTCTTTAATTTTAGTCTTTTTATTAGGTGTGTGGTAGTATCAAACCACAGTTTTAATTTGCATATCTCTAATGACTAATGATGTTGAGCATGTTTTCATGTGCTTGTTTGTTATCTGTATATCTTTATTGGCGAAATATCTATTCAAAACAGAATTTTGGAGGAATGCCTTTTTATTTGGTCCTTTTTTTAGACAGGGTCTTGCTGTGTAGCTCACCCTGGCCTTGAACTCATCATGTAGCCCAGGATGAACTCAAACTTGAAGTGATCTTCCTGCCTCAGCTTTCTGAGTGCTGTGATTACAGGTATGTACCACCACACCCAGAGAGTACTTTTTGTATACCAGATGTAATAGAGCCTAAAATTAAGAACATAATCTTGGAATCTGACTTTATTTCCTGACTTGGTTGTTTATTATAAAACTTAGGGTAAATGGCTTGCCCTCTCTGAACTTCATTTTCTTCTTGTGTAAAATGAGGATAATAGAACCTGGTAAAATTAGTGAGGATCAAATACTTCATGCTTTTAAATTACTTGACTCAAGCCTAGCATATAGAGCTTAATAAGCATTATTAATAATTATTATAACATCCTCTACTGGTCTAATTTGAATTGTAACAATCAAGACCACTGGCATGCCTCAGAAATTATGGGAATTAAATGGTGCTTCATGTCCAATATAGTTGAATGCATACACATTATTTTTTATATTTAGGAATATAAGGAATGAAATTTATAAAAGCCTGTTATGTCAGAGCTGAAAGTATCTTTAGAGATGTTTAAAACAGCCCCATGCTTTAGCTCAGGTTCTCAAAAGAGCAGAGCCTGAGGCTAAAATTACAATGAGACTTTACCGAGGTAATGAAAAAATTGGGCAGGGTAAGGAAAATCTTGGGAAACAACAAAGGGAAGCATCACTAACAGGAATGGTAGGAATGCACCAGTGGTTGTTATATTGCATATTGTTGTCTTCAGACTAGTTATTCATATTACCAGATATAAGCATGCAAAATTGGTCAAGAAAAAAAATTTAAGTATTGATTGTTCCTTTCGATAAACCAATACACATCAGCAGCACAATTATCCCAGTTATTGGTGTGTGTGTGTGTGTGTGTGTGTGTGTGTGTGTGTGTGTATAATATTTATAATTTCCCTTCCTTCTTTCTTTCCTCCTTTCCCTCATCTGACTTGTTCCTTCTCTTTGAGCAGTTTCTTTCCTTTTCACAATGTCTATTGTACCTTTTGGGTTTTATTCACTCTTTCAGGTTCTTACACTAGGGAGAAAATACGATGTTTACACATGTGGGTCTCCTTTGTTTCCAATGATTTTTTTATGACTTTTTATTCTCTTTAATTGTTTGATCAATCTTGCATTCTTACATCTGGTAATCTGAGTAACTTTATTGAAGATAAAAATATGTAATATAACAATCATTGTTAATTCCTATCATCTTGTTTTGAAATCCTGTATCATTTTTATTGATTTTGTGTTGTTTTGGTTTTGTCTTTGTTGTTATTTTGTTATTTTTTCTCTTTAAAATAAAAGAAAAAAAAAAAGAAAGGGAAGCTTCACTGGTTATTGTGCAACTTACCACGACAAAGAAAGGTGCCAAAGAAGCCCAAATGTCTCATACAGCAGTGCTTGCTCAGCACCTAGACAGTCCCTGGAAGGTTTGCAAAGAGAAAACACATTTCATAGACGGCCGTAGGGAGAAAATCAGAAGACATGTTTATGGTCAAAATTGACTTCATGGAGAGCAGTCTTCCCTCACTTCCTAGTATGTTATTCAGCACCGCGGCGGCTATTAAGGAAAGCACATCCCGTACCCTGCCATTGTTGAATTATGTCTAAGCCTAGAAACCAATCGGCAGCTTAGTGCAGGTGGGGCAGCACGCAAGGGAGAGAAAGGAGGTCCATGAGAGTGGTGTCCTGCCTTAGGCAGGGTACCCGAGAAGCGGATCCAGAGTCACAGATTTGAGTGCAAGAGGGCTTGAAGGGAAGAGATTCCACAAAGCACCAGAAGGGGAGTCAGAAGGGAGAAGAGAAGGAAGCTCCCCCAGCGTTTGATGATGAGGTTACTACTGTGGACATCTGGAGCTCCATTCTCCTGGGGACCTCTGGGAGACAATAAGAAAAATGTTTCCCGATTTTCTCACATTAACTTCCAACGCCCCTCCTCCAAAGAAAGGAGTGTCCCACTTGGGGCCAATAGGGTACCTTTGACATATCCTCGAGTGATGAGTGCCACATCTGTCAGGGAACAGCACATTTTTCCTTAAAGATTCAGAGAGCAAATATTTTAGATTAGTGGCCTGTGTGGTTCCTGGTGCACTTCTCAACTCTACGATTCTAGCTCAGTCACAGGCAATACTTACCCAAACAGCTATGGCCGTGCCCCATATTTTTGTGCTCCCACAAAATAGGCAATCAACACGTAGGCCATAGTTTTCAGACCTCTGTGTTACAGATATGCTGCATCTCAATTTGCCCATGGAGAAACTAAAGGGACCAGCAGAGAAAAGAAGTTGGATTTAACACCAGCTAGAGGATCTTCACCTGACTTTCTGACCATTATCTTTTTTTCCATTGTACTTGTCTTTTTATAAGGGCTTTATATGTTTCTGAGGGAACTGGCAGCCAGAACCCCATCAAGAAGTATTTGTGTAACCAAAATTTTTTAATGACAGTGGTTTGTTTCCTCTTGGTCATTAGAGAGCCTCCAGGGACTGAAGTCTTGCAATATCCAAGAATGACTCTGAGCAGCTTCCTCTCCGAAGTCACTGAGTACAGCTGCTCTGGAAGCTCCTCCCCTCCCCCACCCTGGAACTAGGCCTTCTTTCATCAGCCTCTGCTCGGCAGAGCATCTTCCAGCAGCAGCCACCCCGCGCAAAGTGAAAAGGCAGTTAGAGCTTTGGATCCTGTAAAAAATCTAAAAATATCCAGGAATGTGTGCACATATGTGGCCCTTCTGTGATCAAAACATCTGGGGAGGAGATCAAATGCTCCTGCTTTAATTTGCCTAAAATTCTGCTAGGACTTTGGAAGGGAAAGGAAGTTGGAAGTCACTGACTTTACTGAGGGAAGAACGTCACGAAGTTTTGGGTTTTTTAAGACAAAATAAGTTATGCGTATGCAGAACCCTCCCGTGGAGTGAGTCCTGGACCTCCATCTCCTTGGGATTCTGGGATTGTTTCTCATAATGCGGGCGGAAAGTTCATTGGCTACAGGCTTGAATTCCTGATTTGATGCCTTTGGTTAAAAAATAATAATAAAAGGAAGATTAAAATGCCAAGTTCTTCAATCAGAACATTAGGAGTAAGGACAGTGTAACAAATCCGTAAATGTAAGACTTGAGGGGCTGGTGTAAGGCAGGCATCTGTGAGATGGGGAAACAGAGAGCTTGCCTGACGTCACAGGGCCGGTGGAACAGGAGGGTCAGACATGTGTGCCCCAACCCACAGATGCATTGGGAAGACGAGTTGGAGCAAAATTTCTATCCTGGTTCTGCTGCTTCTAATTCATATGGCTTCATCTCTGCTCTGAAGACGATAATGGCTAGTTTTGTGTATAGAAAGCCAGCTTCAGGACCACAGCTGTTTGTTGTGACCTACAAGATCCTTGAAAGCAGGTAATTGCCTACCCTCTCCATTATCAGTCCTGGTCCCAACCCCTAAGAGAGTGACCTGTTTGTTGGGCCGGCTCATGTTTGAACGTGGAATTCCATTTGGCCCCTAATCTGAATTCTTGGCCAGAGTGAGCTAACTAATTCATATGGTACTCGTCCCTCAAAGGAAGGCCTCAATCTAGAGCATGGAAAGAAAGCCACTTCCTGAAGCTTAGGCTGCCTGGCCAAGCCACTTACCCATGCTCTCTTCAACTGTGCCACTTTTTGGTCCCTTTGGCCTTTGAAGGGCAGATAGAGGCTCCCTTCCCTACTCATTGTGAAATTCCCAAAAGAGATAATGCAAAGGGGGAAAGATCTCAGCAGAGCCTGCCACCCAGACACAAAACTTTCTAACCTGCCCCTCCTCATGGAGTTCTACAGTCCAAGCATGCCCTTAAGTTGATCTCTACCACATGGCAACTAATGTGTTTCCTAGAGACCAACATTTTGTTTCTCTCCAGTTTGCCAGTGACTCGTGGTTAGGCTCTCAAAGGACATAACTGCCACCTGCGAAAATGGCAAATTATCAGAATGATCGTGTAGCATCTGGACAGCACTGTTTCTCTGTTCCTTTCCTTTATTGCTGATTGGTTCCACATGGACCCATTGAGATGGGAGGTCAATACACCCCAGGTTTTTATGAATGGGTCTTTCATGACACCATGCATGCATACTTTACACCTAGCTAAAATATCATGTTCTCGCCTATCAACCATATGACCAACAAGCTGAAGACTACATGCTGTATTGGACATCCAAAGTAACAATGATTGCAGCCTAAATATCCCAAATTCACCACCACCCTATCAAGTTATCCTTGTATATCTCCTTCTATTTTAATCGGTCCACAGAAACATTAAATGCACATATTCCTTACCCTCATAGCCACAGGAAAATAATTCTCGAGTTATGTCAAAATCTCCTTTTGCTCTTGTTTCTTCTTATTCTGTTTCACTTCAGATGTGAGTGCAGCAGGAACCTGGTGGGAAATTGGTTGCCTTGTTCAGGAGCTGCAGAAAGACGGGGGCATCCCCCACTACAGCAGTGCCACACATCCCAACGTGGCCCCATTCAATGCTAGGCCTCTCCTCTGTCCTGTTTCCCAAGATTCCGAAGTATCAACAAGACAGAGCACTCTGCCAGGACTCACTTGTGGCATCTAGAAAATGCAAGCTAATTCTCAAAATCGAATGCCAACTGCACACTCCAGCTTCCATCTGATAAAGGTCTTGGATTAAGTGAGATTAAAACTCCTTCTTAGAGTCTAGCTTGCTGATTCAGAGCATCCAAATGACAGGGATCAGCTTCATTTAATCTCCACTGTTAGGGATGTCCCATTTTACATATCCTTTGGTCATACATAAGTATTTTTTGAAAAAGACCCCAGGATAGTTTTTATTTGGGAAATGGGGAAATGGGCCCAGGGAGCTACTTTGTCTGCTTCTAGTCTAAATATGAGTTCAGAGTAGAAGAAGGAAGTCACATTGATTTATAGATATGCTGTGATTTTTATATTCTGTAGATATAGGATGGATGTCAGGCACTTTCTTAGAAGTACTGTTGACTAAGATGACCTTAGAGGTTTTCTCAGCAAAGTTCCACCATGTTGTTTCGACGTCCTGTCTGGTTTACCATTTATCTAGGAGGTATGCTATTTTTATTTTAGGGGGCTTACTTTATTCTGCCATCTGCACTGTATAAATCTGCCTGGCCAGCTGGCTTATACAAAGTGACTGAGAATATTTCCAGGTGGAAGTCAGAACAAGTGAGACTGTGTCATCTAATAAGCACATAAACCCGGAAGAGACTGGACTGAGGTGCCCGTGCATTGTTTCCGTGTCTAGACATGTGGGAAGAGACAAGGTTAAGAGAAAAGTCTTCATGTGTAATAAGGCAAGGCTCTTCTGATGCTCTTATTTTTCTAGCCCAAGGATAACAGTCATATCGCTAAATTAAAGAGAGACCATCAAATGTGGGGGGAGCGTAGCTAACTGGATTAGTCAGCTTTCTACTACCATAAAAAAATAAGTTATACATAGCGTAAAGGAAGAAATGGTGCATGTTGGCTTATAATTTCAGAGGCTTCAGTCTATGCCCATCTGGGTATTAGGCCTATAGCAAGGGAAAAAAATCATGGAAGAAGGATGTGGTGGAGGGAACCAGCGACCTGCTTCAGTCAGGGCTCACCTCCTAATAAGCCTAGTGAGCTATGACCTCATCAATGGGTTAATCCACTGATAAGTTAGAGCCCTCATGATCCAATCACTTTCCCCAAGTCCCACCTCTGAACACTGCTGCACTGGGGACCATGTCCCCAATATGAACCTTGAGAGACAAACCATATCCAAACCACAACACTAACACACCTCCTTATGCGCTCTACTCACAAATTTTTCTGACATGGGCACTGCGCTGTTGATACGCTAAAATAATGATGATAAAGGGATTGCAAACACTTGCGAATTCCAATCATCTAATACAGATGCTTATGGCATCATTTTGAGGAAGATTCTAGGTTTGGCAAGATTGAGAGCCATCACTGATTTGGGTTGTTGGCCAGGGCCCAAGAGCAGAAAGCATCTGCACATGCCTCAGTCATTTACCGTTGTTATGCTAGCAAGAAGAGCTTTTAATAGGAGGAATAAAAAGCTGCATTTATAAGCTCTATTTTTTTTTTCTTTTTACAAAAAGCTTCAAAAATCTTACTTCCACATGATCTGCCCTACTGGATGCATTTTCCTTTTTCTACTGATTATGTCTTTAATTTCATTGGCTAGGAAGTACCTGGGATGATCTACCTTATTCCCTCTCTCTCCTTCAAAATTTTTATGAGAGATTTAAACCTACAGTAGTAGACGTTGAGAAAACATGTTTTTCCTTTTTTGTTTTTTGTTTTTGCTCTTTCCCTTGGGAATACCCTTCTTTAGTCTGGCTCATGGGAATAATCTTACAATGACCTAGGGTGGCTTTTAGTCTTCACGGGAGAACTGAGCTAGGCCTTCCAGTCTGGGTGTCGTTTAGTTGATCTGACCAGAATAGGAAGAGTTGAGGCCGAAGCTTCCTCTACAGTCATGAACATGTTCACTCTGGCTTGCTTTGCCCATCCGTACCTCGCTCTTGGAGCTGGCCAGAGTGGTGCCAGATAAGGTGGGAAGCTGAGCAAGGACTCATAGATTGGAGAACTCAGCAAGCTGTCTCACTTTCTTAGCACTACCAACAATAATATATTTTCCTGGAAATGTAAAGTTAAGTACAATGTATATAAAATGCTTATGACTCAGGTCATTGTAATGCAGATAACTATTACTACTGCAATTATAATAATGACCAGTGTCACTCAGAAACCAAATCATGCCTTATCTGATTTTATTTTTGGCCAAGGCAACATGCACTGTGGTGAGTGGAAGTCAGTGCTCTTGAAAAAAGAAATAGTGGACAACTGCAAGCAGCACAAATCTCCTCTAACGACCCATTAGTAAGAAATTCAATACAGATTCCATCCCATACCCCATTTGTTCAAATGAATGTGTTGAACGTAATGGAAAGTTTGATGTCAGCCACTTTGCTTCCTAAGATTTTTATTTTGTGAGTTTTTCATTTATGACTTTCTTTTAAAGTATTCTGGAGGTCCTGGTTTGCTCAGCTAATGCTTACTCACCAGTGGGTGGGGTGTGAGACGCACACAGACTCCAGATGTGCTCAGCCCTTGGGAAACCTTGGGGCCTTTTGAAGAATTGTCTTTAGGGTGTCTGGAAGCAGGGCAATGTGTATGCGTGCAGGCTCCTTCCGTGAAAATAGTCACTCTCACTGCAATGGGACAGAGTGAATGGGACCACTCTTAGGAAGGAATTCATTTGTATCATTAAAGACAACTGGAAAGATGGCACTTGTAGATTTTAATAAGTTACAATAGATTTAGTGCCTATTATTAGGGAGAAGAAAAGGCCCTGTGAGGAAATATACCAATGAGAGCTGAAGGCCCTGTTCTCCAAGCACAACTTTGGGAGATTAAAAAAAAATGAAGGTGCTGGCCCAGCCATGATGGGTAAATAAATGTTGGACCAATGATTTTAAAGGGCCTCTGTTTTTACAAGGAGAATGAGAACGCAGAAACAGAAGGCCCAAAATAGGGATGATGTCATGAGATGAGGACAGAGAGGCACCCGGTAGTTCATAAAGAAAGCTACAAATGCACAAAGAAGCCCCAACATACATGGTGCTACTTCAGGGATAACCTAAATGAGCTGAAGGGTATACAATCTCATCATCCACTGTATCCAAAGCCATGAGCTTGACAAGCGACATGAAAATTGCATTTGACCGGGGATACCAGGTAAGTTCTCCCTTGTCTCAACCACTTTGTACCTCGTGAGAAGTCCAAAACAAATGGATATGGCTAAAAGTACTAGAATGAGACATTTTTAGTGGAGACTTTGGTACTAAAGTCTCTTACAGAATTCTAATAAACTAGTCTAGATCATGTGAAGGATTTCTTTTCCTAATCGGAGCAAGTCGTAAGTCTTAGTCCATTTTTCTGTTGCTATAAAAATATACATGATGCGGGGCTGGGGATTTAGCTCAGCGGCAAAAGCGCCTGCCTGGCAAGTGCAAGGTCATGAGTTCGGTTCCCGGTACCAGAGAAAAACCAAACCAAAAAAAAAAAAAAAAAAAATGATGCTAGGCACTTTATTAAACAAGGGGATTTGGCTCACAGTTCTGAAGTTCTAAGAACATGGCAATGGCCCCAATACCTCTTATCATGCTTACCTTGGGCATTAAGTCTCAGCATGACTTGGTGGAGACAAACCATATTCAAACCACGGCAATCTGAATAGCTAATGTTCCCCTCTACCCAGGGAGCCACCCCATCTGGGGCAGATGTGCCTGGCCTGTTGATGTCTGTGTACAGTTTGGTGGTTCTGCCTTCAGGATTCTTCTCATTCTGGCTGCACCCAGCATCAGGCTCTCTATTTGTTACTGAGGGGCCAAGCGTCAAAGAAAGCTGCAGACCCCAAGAGGGAAGCTAAAGGAAGGAAGGTTGAGCTCTCCACCTGAAGTGCTGCCACAAGCTCTCTGTCTCTGCAGGGCAACTTCCAGCAGAAATGCTGGAGAAGTGCTGACAGTCTCAGAAGAGGATAGATCTGCCGGTGCATCCTCCATCACAAAGAAGAAATGACTCAGTGTCACTTTAACCCTTTGCTTCACCTCTTGCTTTTCTGACCTCAAAGTCCTTTCCTGCTCCATGACAACAGAGCCCTAATTGTTGGGTCACATATTCTGGTGTATGGTGTGTGATAAGAACAGAATGAATAAAAGCACGACACACTTACTGACCGTGCTGATGCTTTACTCTAAGGAAAGCCATTAGGTGGGCTGGTGAGGGAAAATTACAGGAAAGCCTGAGATGGTGGCTCTGGACTGTCACTGTTGGAGAAAAGCATAAGCTGTAAATATTTTAAAGAATAAACGTGTGTGTATCTGTCTGTATCTTTCAAACTGCCCAACGTTTTATCAGTTCACATTTTTCCCTTTAGAAATCGTGTGCCTGCACATGGTATACACTCCAGTTTCTCAACCAGCTTTAGGAGATGCCAAATATTTAATGACACCCCACCTAGAAACAATAAATACATTTGAGTCAGTCTCAGACTCCTGGGGAAAGGGATGCTGAAAATTTGATGAAAGGGATTAATAAATTATAACCAGGCTATTAAGATGTGAATCACTAAAGACTCCTGACATTCTTCTTTTCTCTAACTAGAATTAGGAAATAAATAAACAGGCTCGCCTCCCTAGGCTCAGAATTCTGCTTCCCGCATTCTGAGGCCACTGCGTTGGTCTAGCTCTTGGACTTTCCTATATATGCTAAGATGGTGTTCAGTGATGAGCAACAAGGCCCTGACAGTCAATTCAGAGACAGTGCCCTGGTTCTCCAAACCAGATGTTATGACCATATTGATGAGATGCCAGTCACACAGCTGGGAAGGGGAAAGGTCCAATTTGAGGGCCGTAGGGTATCTTCCCAATCAAAGTGCTCCTGCTGATCGATTTCAGGGCCTGCTTCAAGCTGTCCAATAAGACTCAGCTCCTGGAAGAAAGCTTAGAGACTCCCTGCCCCACCTCTTTTTTTCACGTAAGCAAAAACTGAGGTCAATGAAGAAGGAACATATTTCCCAAAAGCATGCAAATTTTCAGAGCAAAACTTACCCAAAAACCTAGGTCTCCTGACATGTAGTCACTATTCTTTCTGTCTCTTTCTTTAGCTATCCTAAGGGCTCAAATCCAACAGATCTGTACTTCCCTCTCCAAGCACCCAGACCAATTCCATAATGCAGGCGTCAGACTAGAATCTAAAGATAACCCCACATCTCACCACAGGTAAAACATCAATGGCTCCTCCCTCTAAATACCATATGTGGGGTCGTGGTGTCATGCCCATTAAGTTTAGGTACAAAAACTGAATTTTTTACTCACCTTTATATATATATATATATATATATATATATATATATATTCAGAGCCTAGAACAATGCCAGTACCAGGGAGTTGGGGCAGGGGCAGGGTAGGGATGAAGACTGTTTAAAGTGAATGAGTCATGAAAGTTTATCTAATTTCAGAACCTCTCATTTTGCTTTTGAGTGCACAGTGACTCAAAGCCAACAATGTGCATAGTGACTCAAAGCAAAGAATGAGAAAATGCATTTTCTTCTAAATATTTAGTGAGTTCTTCAAGACAGCTTTCAACAAACATTTATTTGGGTTTACTACGGAGTACATGCTAGGTAAAGAGAAATAAAGCATAGCTCCAATCATCCCAGTCTAGTAAGGGAGACAGATATCCCAGTGGTTGTAACCCGAGATAATGGCACCCCATAACAGATGTATATCTAAGAAGGACATGCAGATTCTAGGCGGACACAGAGGTGACAGCTGAGCTGAGTGTTGAAGGATAAGTCAATTGGGGAAATGACAAGGACTGATATTTCAGGCAGGGGATCCTGTACTAAATCATGACAGGAGATGGCTTGAAAAAGCTTGGCCAAAGACACAGGGAAAATACAATGGATACATTTTAATATGTCATACAAACAAAATATAAATTTGTTTGTGTCTCTGTGCTTGCTTTTCCAGAAGAGGTCATTGTTGAATAATGGCAAATGTATTGGATTTGGAACAAGGACAGCTGGAAAAATAATGATTCTGGCTACAGTTGCTGTGCTTATACTATAGATGCCAGGGTCTCGTGATGCACGGAATAGAGGGATTATCACATCACCTTAGTTTGCGCTAAGTGAGTACTAGCCAGTACTAGCATGACTGTTTTGCTTCTCCATCATATTTGTTGAGTCCAGGGATGGGGAATAATTGGACCTACCACCTTAGATACATGTACAAAGCCACTTTATCTCCTCTCTTGGCAGGGAATTTTCTTTTGCCATGAATGTCAGCAATCCAGCCTCTTCCCTGAACTACCTCCATAGTGAGTCCTGCCAGAGCACTCAGGCATATCTGAGAGCATCCTGCAGCATGTGAGAACACTGGCCTTCCCCACTGTTTCTTAGGCACCCTGGGCAGCTGTCAGCAAACTTTCTTCATAGGCCTACGAGTGTGCCCCCTAGGGGGGAGTGTGTGTATTGCCTTGTCTTTTCCATTTCTCAAGTATTTGCACTCCCGGTCCCTTGTGTTCACCTCCTTCTGTACATACATTCCTTCAAAACTGTACTCTGCTCCCTGAGGGGAGCATTATCTAGCCACCCTTAGGGTCCAGAAGGCACCCTCATCCTTCTGAGGAAGCCGCTATCCTCTCATTTACAGAATCACTCATCGGGGTTTCCCATGCCCTTGGGAAATTTCCCTGCCATCATCATAGCTCACTTCACTCTGCTTTCCACAAAAGTGGATGGAGCCTAAGAACGCCATCCTATTCACCCCAGTGTCCCCAGCACCAGTGTGATGAATGGTCAGCCTCCCAGGTGTAAATGTGCTGAATACCCCAAGAAAATTCAACGCTGACTCTGTCACTTGCTGGGGTTGGGCTCAGCCTGCATTACAACCTGGTGAAAAATAAGGCCCTCACGTCACCCTGTCACCCTGCAGACTGGCATGAGGCAGGAGGGTGAACCTCCGTAACCTTATCATTCTGACGTCCCATGGCCCACCCTCATCAGGTGTTAACTGCTCACATCAGGAGTGTGACCAGGTATTCCTGATCCTGGAGCTCTACCGCTCCACTTGGTCTGGGCCAGATGCCACTGCAACTTGCAAAAACCACCTGTCATTTCTAGTGGGTGCACAGAACCCATCCTTGCTTTCCTACACATTTTCCCCTGTCATCGTAGAGTTTGGGTCATTTTAATGAAATATTGCAGGAAAGAAGTAAAATGCATATATGTAGATTTCTACCTTGAATCCCATTGAAGTGTTTAAGTGGGTAGATTCTTTTAAGAAACATTTCTAACTGGGGAATCCTCAATTCTTTGACTCTTTTGATGTTAGCAGGCCCAGTCTCTAGTCACTGGGTTTCAATCCCAGCCCCTCCAATTATTAGCTATGCAATCTTAAACTAATTATGCAACCTCTCCAAGGCAGTTTTCTCATCTGTAAAATGGAAATAATGCTGTCTTTCTCACAGGATGTTGTAAACTTGAGAAATAATTACCAAGTGTTTATACGAGGCACTCAGTCACTGCCCTTGTGTGTTCAGAAGAGGTTTAACTGTTCTTTACATATATTATCTTTCTTCCTATAATATCTTTTCAAAAGTCTTGGGAAGGGAAGTGTGATTCAAAGCCCCACATGATAC